CGGTTAAAGACACTGAGCTTGTCAGCTGGAAAGCTGACAGCCTGAGTTTGAGACCCGAACACTGCACAACAGGGTGAACTCCCGTTCCTGCCTCAGTTCTTGCCCATCTAGCAGTTCAAAAGAATGCAGATACAAGTAGATGAATAGATACCACTTTGGTGGGAAGGTAACAGCATTCCATGCACCTTTGGCGTATAGCCATGCCGGCCAGATGACCACGGAAAATGTCTTTGGACAATGCTGGCTCCCTTGGCCAAGAAACGGAGATGAGAACCTTGCCCTAGAGTTGGACATGAATGGACAGGGGAAATCTTTATCTTTACCATACATGGTGATGCTTTAGGAGGAACCAGTTTCTGTAGTTAAGGATAGATGTGAATCTAGTTCAGGACATTTATTAGTACATCACCCAGGTCTCCATTCCAACTTTGGATTAATATCATATACTTCGCCAGTGTTTGAAGTATGTTCAGAAACTTCAGGTAATGTAGGATGACACAGGGAAAGTTTCAGAGAGCATATGTCCTCCATTTTGAACAACCTAATGCAGGGGTAGGCAACCTTGGCTCTTTTATGACTCATGGACTTCAACTCTCAGAATTCCTGAGCCAGCCATGCTGGTTCCGGAATTCTGGGAGTGAAAGTCCAGACACGAGTCATAAAAGAGCCAAGGTTGCCTACCCCTGACCTAATGTAATGTGTCTCATTAATCTTGTATAGGATTTCAAACTAGGCTATATAAAAAAATCTCTTTCTCCTATACAAATCTTCCCAAACTTTGAGATCTTCAGGACTTGCTCTTCTTTTGAACCCACCATTACTGGAAACAACTTTTTAGTAGCTGCTTTTCCAGTGTGCAAAGGAATGTTGTGTACTTTCCTAATAATAATAATAATAGTTATCATTGTGTCAGCAAATATAAACATGTTTATTTTAGCAGGGTTTTGATAAGGAAGCTCTAAACCGGTTTGTCTGTCAAGGTGAGTCTTGATGAATTGTTTGATGTTATTTGTTTCACTTTCTTAACATTTGTTTTTAAGCCATTAGCTCTTTTTTATATATATTTGTTTTTAAAGATGCTTTAATTGCTTTAATTAGACAAATGTTAGCCTGTATAATCTGTAGGTTTAATGGTGATTTTTGAATTTCTGTTCTTGCTAGCTACCTTGAGCACAACTATTGATACAAATAATGATTCAAAGAGGCAAAACACAATTAATATCTTAATACTTGCAAAACATAAGTGTAGACCACGAAAACAACGTAAAACTTGTCCGTCTTTATGAGTCGCATAACTCGGTGTTTTTATAGTAAGTCAAAATACCGCGGCAATAACTTGGGGGTTTGATACCGTATCAATGTCCATTCGATGTCTAGGAGGAGGAAAACACTACACACCCCCTAATTTCTGAAACACTGATTTTTTTCAGTAGTTGGCTATATACTTGTGGTTTTTTAAAAGAATAACCTTCCTTTCTTTTCATATTGAACTATATGTTAATGTAATTTGGAAAAAAACAAATTCCTTTACTCCTGCAAATATTATTTAATTGTAGGGTTTGGAGTGTTTTCTGTGAAACCAAAATTGGCACATTGCAGGGATGGTATTTGCTTTAATTAAATGGTGCCAATGGACAGAGAACAATATGTAGATTATTCTTATGTAGTCTGCTGTCAATGTGGAGAAAATAAGAGTGATATAAGAAACAGCAATTTTGCCATTATATTCTACTGACAGAAAGAGAACTTGGGGGCAAATCCTACAGCTTAGTTTTCAATTCGCTGTGAGGCATACTTACAGAGCCAAGACACTACCCCTTTTCCGGGGGAGGGGGGATATGCCTCTATACAAATCTTGAGCCAATATTACAAAAATCTAGGCCTATTAGAGATATGGCCAAATGAGCTATTTTCATGAACTGAAAACATACTGCAATCTCACTTCTTCTATCAATAGACTAGACCAGTGATGGTGAACCTTTTAGAGACTGAGTGCCCAAACTGCAACCCAAAACCCACTTATGCATCGTCGGGTGCTGGGTGGGTGTGCTGGGTGGGTGTGGCCCATTGGGTGGGCATGGCTGTGGTGGTAACGGCAGACTGGGTGGGACTAAAAAGTTCAATCAATCAATTCCAACTTTGCAAGATCTTTTTTTTCCCGCGAGAAGTTGAAATTGACTGATTGAACCTTTTTTTTTTTTTGCACATGGCGGCGGAGGCCTAAAGCAAAAAAAGTTTTATAAAACCCAGCTGAAGGCCCAGGACTCGGGCGATGGCACGCGTGCCCACAGAGAGGGCTCTGAGTGCCGCCTCTGGCACCCGTGCCATAGGTTTGCCACTACTGAGCCTAGCAGGATCTATATTCTATAGCTTTTCCCTCTGTGGGAACCACTAAAAAACTGAGCTCCCCCCCCCATATTCTTTAGCCTTTATGAAGCAGCTAGAAATTCTTTTTTTGCTTAAACAGTAATGCTGGTGGAGGCAAAAATATTTAAGTCTTCTTTTTCTTCTTCTGGCATGCATCCTCCCATTCCTGATTCTACTACCCTTCTCTGATTAGAAAGTACAGTGATTGGTATTGTTTGGTCACAACAACGCAACATATATTGTATATTCTATATAAGATTCTGTTTCAGATCACGTGTCTCTCTGTGTTGAGGTATTAATATGAATATATTTCACATTTTTAAATGTGCTTATCGTTGCATTCTGAATGCTTGCCTTTCTGTTTCCAAGTGAGCTACGGTATGTAGCTTAAGAGCCAGTTTGGTGTAGTGGCTAAGTCACCAGAATACTAGAAACCAGGAGAATGGGAGATCTTAGGGGTGAAGTTAGCTTGGGGACCTTGCCAGTCCTCCTCTCTCAGACCTACGAAAAAGGTTACGGTAAACCACTTTGACCGTAACCACTCTTGGCAGTTGCCAAGAGTCAAGATTTACTTGAAGGCTGTCTGTCTATCTTGAAGAAGCATAGTATTTTCAAGGCCTCCCTCTTATTTGATAACTTGAAGGATTTGCTAAATTTAGTAAATTTAAAGCAGATGCAAATTTCTTCTAGCAAAGGATTCCCCCCCCCCCCACACACACACATCAAATGGGTGAGTTTTGGATAAGTGTAAATGAAATTACACTTCCATAAAGTGAAATGAAATTAACGGTAGTTAATATGGGTTAATGCTCAGGGATGTGCTTCACGCCATACTTCTGTCACAGTGAAAAAAAAATTGTCTTGTGTTTGTTCACTTGAATACATTTTGGTTGTATTAGATTTAATTAATATATAGGCTAATGTAAGATATTTTTGCTAATATCATGTTGTTCTACTAAAAGCTATGCTACTCTTTTAAGTTTATGTCTCCACATGGAAAAAAACATGTCATTTTTATTATTTTATTTATTTGTATCCTACCTTTATTTATTTGTATCCTACCTTTTTATAAATAACTCAAGGCAGCAAACATGCCTAATACTCCTTCCTCCTCCTATTTTCCCCACAACTACAACCTTGTGAGTCACCCAGCTGGCTTTCATGGCTAAGGCGGGGCTTGAACTCACAGTCTCCCCTTTTCTAGCCTGGTGCCTTAACCAGTAAACCAAACTGGTAGATGCATGCAAATGAGGATGATGAGGGTGATGTAATTTCTGGTTGTTGTTCCCAGAGGTATCAAGAATAGTGTTTATGTGTATGAATTCATGACACCCATCTTTTAATAACATGCAGGGCAAAACTATAGGCTGCATAATTATGATTTAGATTAGTTTCATCAAATTTATTTATGAATTTCTTTACATTTAATGGGGTTAGTATTATTTTCATGGTACACACAATCTGACCCCAGAATGTCAAGACTGATTATTTAACCCATGAGAAACATGTGTAGTCATCTTTACATCCATTTCATAATGTTAGGGAGAGATTATGCAGTCTCTTAATTTTTGCTGGCTAGTTCTTTTGCTGTTTAATGAGGCATATGTATCAATGTGTTTATTTAATATATATTTAAATGTTATTTCATTTATGTGTTTATTTAAATGTATTATTTTAAAACTCTTTATATCAATCCCACCAGAGTAAAAAAATCTTATTAATATTTTGTATCTGTGTTTTATTCCCAAATTAAAACAATTTTCCTAATATTTGAGAACCAGCAAGTTATAATGGTTAAGGTGCTGGATTGGGAATGGATAGACCCAGGTTCTAGTCTACCTTAGGCACTGAAGCCAGCTGGGTGACTTTGAGTCTGTCACTTTCTCTAAAGCTAAACTGGAAAGAAAAAAACCCAACAACCTAGAAGTTGTCAGTGACCAATGAAATTGACACACCAAGAGACAATATTGACACAAAAACACAAAACAATTCTCACAAACTTTTATTCATAAACCATAGTGTACCTCTTTAAAGTTAATGTATCTGGATGATGCATTGTTCAGACTATTTGCTATTGCAACATGGTAGGTAACATCAAATTTGCTAATTTTTTAAATCAAAGATGGCTAATTATTGTGCCTCCGTGTGTTATTAAATGTGCCAATTTAAGCATATTTTTTCCTCTTTTGTAACAGAATATGCTTCTGCTGGGTCATTGTATGACTATATTAATAGCAACAGAAGTGAAGAAA